AAGGACGTGACAATCTATGCATGAAGCGACTCCACGATTGTCCTGTCTGGCTATCGTACTTACCAGCTCAACTAAAGACGTTTGTTGGAATCCGCACCGCAGGGATCTTGAAAACCATCCCTAAGCATGCGTGGCGGCATGTGGACTCAAAATAAAACCCAGCAGATTATGCATCCCGGAGCTTGGTAGTATCCGAGCTCATTGGCTTCCAATTGTGGTGGAAGGGTCCTTCATGGTTGTGGGACAAGAATCCATTCTTGATAAAGTTTAACAATTCTTACAACTGTTCTTCTCTTTCAGACAAACGGATATAAAGTGAAGTCAAAACCAATTTCTTAGCGTCGCATGTAATTGTCACGACGGACAATCCTTTGGATAAGCTTATCAATCGCAACTAATCTTGGCTGAAATACACACACACTATGCATGTATACACACTATGGATAAGTACCACCTATGGCAAAATTGCAAATTTTCTTCAGTTTCAATTATACAGCAGAACAACTAAGACCAAATACAACCAAAAACTGCCAAAAGGCTCTACGCATTTAGGATTACCCTATGTCCGGGCGCCCATATGAGGTGGATGTCATGCTGCTCCGCCATTTCGTTGAGAGATCTGCGACATTCATTCACTGTCCTAGAATTAGATGAAAATCCGTAAAGAGCCCTGAGTGCCGCTTGACTATTTGAGAAAATACAAATAGTTTCATGTATGCCAACAAGTGATGGGAATCTAAATGCTTCCATGATAGCTGTTACTTCAGCTTGGAACTCACTACAAAGGTCGGGGAGTCTGAGTGGTCGGGGAAAGATGCTTGCAGTGGAAACCACCTCCTTGTCCTCCCACCCTCAAAAACTGTCCATTCAACTTCGAGGCATCCTTCGAGCCATGTATATATGAAGGGAACCCGCTGTTCCCGGGATTTGTGCAGCCCATTCCTCCCTCAATGGACCTTATAGTTTAAGGTGGAATGATCGATGGGTATACAGTCCGCTACCTCCATAAGCTTAAAACAGTATACGTCCAACTGGGTGTGTCCGTAGCTATACCTTTTCCATAGAACCGCCTCGCATAGCCTGATTGCCAATAGCGTGGCCAATATCTCTACAATAGATCGAGTATGAAGTTTGAGGCGTCAGTTGGTCCGTCATCTTTTGCGTTTTCCTAAACCTTTCCTAAACTCCTAAACTCCTTCCTCCTTCCTTCCTAAACTCCTTAAAACAGGATAGGTCTTATAACCGCCGTGTAAAGTCAGCTTACTATTTTCGGAGACATACCCCATTTATGCCCAATGTCCTTGTGGAAGGTATAGAGCGCGATAGCCGCCTTGTTTGCTCTATCCATAGTATCACTAACCATACAGCATATAGACAACCCATTTCATACAACGAAAATGGACGCGAAAATTTCTTGCGACAGGCCCCAGCAGGCCCCAGAGCGGATTTCTTACGCTCTCTTACGCTCATCGTTCGTTCATCTTACGCTCATTCTCGCAATAAATGTTTTCTGTTTCTCAGTCTCTAAACGGAGCGCGATGAAGAAGGTTGGCCTGCGCTTCGGTTGATCTTTGTATGTATGCGTGTCACACATTCACATACATGGGTGTATGTGTGCGTGCGATTTCGTTTCGAAGCCAGCGCACAAAATTTTGATTTTTCTTACTTTTAAGGCTTGCTACCCTAACAAAATTCGGGTATTCGTTATTTGATGAAATGACGAAAGAAATTATATTATTTTTATTTTATTTTTTTTATTATTTCAGCATACATTTTTAATTTATTTAGGAATAAGATTAAGTGTTAGTAGTAAAATGTTTTCTGTATATATATTTTTACGAATCATTAAAAATCAATATACTGAGAAAGTGTCAGAGTATATTTCGGTCGGAGTCACTTAAAGCGCCGATTGCTTTTAAGTTTTTGTTGTTCTGCAAGAGGCTTGTGCATGCCTACTCTAACGATGGAATGATTTTTAGGGGAGGGTGAAGACACGAAAACAGCTGATGGACTTGTTTACCTTTTTTGTTTACAATTTTTCAGGCACTTGTTATTATATTTTGGGTTATTGTGAGATTTAATTAAATTATTGTCGTTAATTTAATAATTTCCTTATATATATTTCCTTATATATAATAACTTTAAAAAGTAATTTAATTCTTCACCCGTCTTCACCCTCCCCTAAAAATCATTCCATCGTTAGAGTAGGCATGCACAAGCCTCTTGCAGAACAACAAAAACTTAAAAGCAATCGGCGCTTTAAGTGACTCCGACCGAAATATACTCTGACACTTTCTCAGTATATTGATTTTTAATGATTCGTAAAAATATATATACAGAAAACATTTTACTACTAACACTTAATCTTATTCCTAAATAAATTAAAAATGTATGCTGAAATAATAAAAAAATATAATATACAAAATAATATAATTTCTTTCGTCATTTCATCAAATAACGAATACCCGAATTTTGTTAGGGTAGCAAGCCTTAAAAGTAAGAAAAATCAAAATTTTGTGCGCTGGCTTCGAAACGAAATCGCACGCACACATACACCCATGTATGTGAATGTGTGACACGCATACATACAAAGATCAACCGAAGCGCAGGCCAACCTTCTTCATCGCGCTCCGTTTAGAGACTGAGAAACAGAAAACATTTAATGCGAGAATGAGCGTAAGATGAACGAACGATGAGCGTAAGAGAGCGTAAGAAATCCGCTCTGGGGCCTGCTGGGGCCTGTAGCAAGAAATTTTCGCGTCCATTTTCGTTGTATGAAATGGGTTGTCTATATGCTGTATGGTTAGTGATAGTATTTAGCATCCAGTCCAGTTTCCTGACTAGCGTAATTCTTAGGTACTTGACGTTACCACTAAGGGTATTAAGTTATTAAAGTGTGGAGGTGCCATCAGGGACTGGAGATTCAGAGGGCTTGAAACTGTGCATCGCCGAAATGAGATTCCTATTACTGAGGAGGTATTCGAGCTGACTCGGGAGCTGTCCCCCTGGCTCCGCATTTCCTGGACTATTTTCTCCCTGGAACACCCTGGGAAATGTGCGTTTTTGAGCTGAACCCCCTTGGACACGCAACCTTCGGCATATACTGTTCCTCCTTGGATTGGGGGGACTTAAGGGGAGGTTCTTTTGGATTTTTCCGAAAATTAAGCAAGCTTTGAGAATGGATTGCGGGAAAATGAAAAGACATACGAACTTATGCTTTTGAACTTTTGATTCGTTGTTTATTAACGATAAATTATCTTTATTATCTTAATTATAAATTATTATCTTAAGATATTTTTCTTATCAAATTATTGTTTATTCTCTCGATCGATCTCGTCGACATCTATTTTTCTGCTTTGTCTAGTGTCGGGCCGCTGGTAGTGAACTGAATTTAGAAATGTATATAATTTATTAAAATTGATGGAATTTCCTATGCCTAACGATAATTAATTTTGCTAAAAATAAACCAACTTCATTGACTTTAAAAAAAAGTGACATTTTTTCTCTTTTTTTTACTTTGATCTCGTTTAAAAATTATAAATAAACAATTTGTTATGCCAATTTTAGGTATAAAGCATACAAAAAGTATGTACTTTAAAAAATTTGTTAAATGAATGAAATCGGATTAATAGAACGAGCCCTGTGCGCGACAAGAGGTTTGAAAACATGGTTCCGAGAAATAAGCGTTTAAAGTTTTTAGAAACTTTGCCTTGAGATAACTTTCTTGTTATCATGGGTATGTTTGACACGCTCTGGCTCAAGAAATACGCGTCGTATCGAAACATCCCTTGGCACGTATATTCTACACATATGTAACTTTCATTTTATTCAAAAAAAAAAATCGATTTTTTCAAAAAAATCCAAAAGAACCTCCCCTTAAGGAAGGGAGTGTTCTTCTCCCCGCCCGACTACAATTAGCCAGCATCCTTGGCAAGACATAACCGTACCGGGACCTGTTACTAGCCGCCGTCGCGTGAAGGGTATAGTCGCACCACCTGTGGTGTACACAGTTACGACACGCAATAACTTGCGTGCTGTACCCGTTCGCTAACGGCCAAACTAAGAGAATAATTTGTTCTTATTAAATTAATAGAATAAAATCACCATTAATGTTAAAATAATTTGTCATGTACTGGGTGCAATTTTTATGCAACAAACTTTTTTTGCTTTTTTTTTTGCAAAAAAAATGTGTGCTTGCTGCACAAATTACACAGTGCGACGAAAAAAAGCGAAGGTACTTTTAAAGTGACATAGTAGGAATTGTTTATCAGGTCGACTCTGTCACAAAACCGTATTTGAAATATTTGTAACACCCTCCAAATTTGGATTTATTTAGAAAAAACAGTTTTTCGGGACTTTTTGCGCTTAAAAATTCCTGACCGCGTAATTTTAAACCGATTTTAAAGTAGCTTTTAAAAAAATATATATCTTAAATTTTTTTTTAACAAAAGGATAAAAATTGTACACAGACAACTGACGTTTTTTAAATTTTTTGTCGTGTTTTTTTGGAATTTGAAGCCATTTTTTCGGTACAACTTAGAGGAAAATATATCATATCACACATACCAATATTGTCATTACAAAATTATTTGTTTAAGTTATAACGCTTTTCCCTCAACATGCGAGTGCAATTTTGCTAGCGCTGTCTGAACGCTTATTTTCAGCGACTATTATAAATTAAGTTTATATCTAGTCAAGTTGTCAAGGCTCAAGCTGTATTTATGACTTTGACACGCCGTCTCCCACCTCCAGAAATGACATTCATATTTTCTAACAACAACTCCGAAAAGTTTTTAGAAAAACTTTATTTGCTGATCTATTTAAGTAACTAATTTATATTTACAAAATACCATAACATTGTAACCCGCATAAGAGGAGTTAAAGGAATAGAAGAACAGAATAGAAAACCTTTATATAAAAATGTTTCGTAATATTTCTGTAGAATATTACTCCTACCGGAAATGTATAAATTTCTCCATATTTTATTCTTTTTATTTCAGATATATCGTCAAACCAAAAAAATGCAAATAAATGGATCAATGGCCAAGATTACTACAGATTAGATGGAAAAACGCCTAAAAATATTCGTCATGAAATGATAAAAAGATTTAACAGCGACGCCAATAAGCGCGCACGAGTTTTTTTAATTTCGTCTAGGGCTGGAGGTCAAGGCATAAACCTAATTGGCGCAAACAGAGTCATTATTTTGGATACCTCTTGGAATCCATCAAATGACCAACAAAATATTTTTAGGGTGTTTCGCCTGGGTCAAAAAAAAAATTGTTATATATATCGCCTTTTAGCAATGGTATTTTTAAAGTACTGTATTTTTAAAAACAATTTATTGTTTTAATATTTTTTCAGGGCACAATGGAAGAAAAAGTTTATTCTCGCTCCGTTACTAAGCAAGCTATGAGTTTTCGTGTTGTAGATGAACAACAAATAGATCGACATTACAACATGGCGGAACTTGCGGAACTCTACACGTAATTATAATGTGCTAATTATTGTTAGAACCCATTTTTCTTACGTACATCAAAAACATAAATGAGCCCAAAACACAAATATTATTAAGAAACTGTACATATATAATTTAATAGATAAACATTTTTTTTTAATCAGTTAATCAAATGATTTTTAGTTTTTCTCCCTTTGGAAAAAAATCCCTTTAGAAATGCAATTGAAATAAGAACAATTGGCAACTCTTGTCTTCTTAGTATGTTGGTGCTTCATTTTTATACCCTTGCAGAGAGTATTATAATTTTGTCCAAAAGTGTGCAACGCAGTGTAGGAGACATCTCCGACCCTATAAAGTATATATATTCTTGATCAGGATCACCTCCTGAGTTAATATGAGCATGTCCGTCTGTCTGTCTGTCTGTCTGTCTGTCCGTCTGTCTGTCCGTTTCTACGCGAACTAGTTTCTCAGTTTTAAAGCTATCGTCTTGAAACTTTGCACACACCCTTCTATGCTTTGCACGAAGTATATAAGTCGGAACGGCCCGGCCCGGATCGGCCGACTATATCCTATAGCTGCCATATAACTGATTGATCGGAAATGGTATAACTTTAGTGTTTTTAGGGTTAGAGAGTTCAAATTTGACAAAACTTTTTTTGGCAAAACAGTACGACATGCCAAATTTCATAAGGATCGGCCGACTATATCCTATAGCTGCCATATAACTGAACGATCGGAAATGGTTTTTGGTAGAAATACCAACTTTGGTATTTTTAAAGATAGAAGTTTGGGACTTTTTTTAGATTTTTTATTATAATAAATAGGGATATATTATCATATTCTCATTAGGATCGGCCAACTATGGCCAAAAGTTCTCCAATTTTTCTTTTTTTTGTCGCACTGTGTAATCGGACATTGTCGTTGCTCGGTTAACTTCAGTTAACTTATATATTATATTACAAAACATAAAATGAGGGCCAGTTCTAAGATTTAATTTAAATATGAATACTTTGTTATTTAAAGTAAAAGAATACAAGCTCTCATTGGAAGTTTTCTGATAATATTATATTACTATATTGTGGTGGCATTAAATAAAGTACTTTATAAATTGATAGATTTCTGGTCATGAAATGACCAAAAACCAACAGTTGGCTGACAAATTTCAAAAGGTTTGTTAAAAAAAATGTGTCTTTTTATAGGTCCTTAAATTTTATTGTTGCGAATTAGCTCTGCTCTCATTGTTTTTTCTGCTACTCATACACTCAAAGTTTAAACATGTGTGCGTTTTGCCCCCCACAGACACCTTTATTCTAGATCAGGTCTTACTTAGGTCAGTACCAGAGAACCATGCAAAGTGCGTGTTTCTGCAAACATCCATGATTTCGGGTGCACTCCCTTTTCTTGGTTTCTTGGGTGTGGATCGGAGGCACACATAAAAAACGGATAGGTGGATAGAAAGGCACAAAAAGAAGATCATAAAACGATCGTACGAAAGAGTTTTGTTGTTTTTACTTGTGTAAGTTAACTGAAGTTAACCGAGCAGCGGCAATGTCCGATTATTTAAGAATTCGCTCTGGCCAAACTGCTGCATAGCGTCTGGCCGGATGCCCATGCATAGCGGCAAGCACTGCACATTTGCGTGGCCGCTATGAAATACTTTTTGTTAGCTTTAAGTTTCAGTTTGTGTCAGAGTCTCATCGAATAAAGAGCACTATTAAAACCAATCTCCGGCACAGCCGTTAAACAGTAAATTCATTTTGTTAAATTGGTCACCGCGCCTCAAGAGCCGTGACAACGGGGCAAGTGCTCCCATCGTAACTCCTGTCGTAAAGAGGATTTCCCTCGGCCTGCCAGGGATACAAACGAAGCTCGCCACCTGCAAGGAAAGGCAAACCCCCTCCCGGCAACCGCCAGGGATAATCAACCCAACATATCTCCAACGTCTGAGCCATCACTGACTGCAGCGAGGGATAATCAACTAAAACACATTAACACACAAACCCATTTATATATACTTGTATGTACTAGGTACCTGTGCCTTTTTGGGTTACTGCCTATATGGCACCAAGTCAAGACGGTTAGTTAGTTAGAAAGAAAAGGAAAAAAAGGATCGCTCCCGCCCAAGCGGAGGCTCCCCAAATAAAAAAATCTGAACCTATAGAGATTAGGGACGACGTCAAGTGTGACGAGCCCCTAGACGCCGTCAAGTCCCTGCCCATCAATCCGGTAGGCTTTGAACCGAAAGCATCGTTTTATTGTTTGTTAAAGAAAATAAAAAGAAAAATTTAAAATTTTTTTTCCAACCACCAAACAAATATAAAACCACTCTTATTTACTTAATCTTGCGGCCATTCTCGGGCAAAACCAACTCAATGGGCTGGCAAGACCCTCCCAGTTCCATCAAAATCAAGCCGCCTTCGAAAAAGAAAGCCTATTCTAATTTTCAAGATGACGATTCCAGCGACTCCGAGCATGGAGAAATGAAGCGGAAGTCTGCTAAAAAACCCATTATGGAAGACGAACCTACCACCAGCGAAGCAGCCAGAGCTGCACTTAAAGCTAATATTGAAAAAAATTATTATGCAATTCTATCTGATTTAGACGATGAAGATCGTGTCAGCGACATGGAGGTTGACGGTATGAAGAAAAAAGATGATAAGAAGACGAAGCAATCTGCGGTAAAAACGGCGAAAATCATCAAACCGCCCCCAATTTTTATCCCGGGCGTATCCAGCATCAAGGGCCTTTCCAAAGACATTCCCCACCTCTTAGGCGGGGATGTTGAAATGACCTACAAGGCAAGCACTAACAACACAATTCGCGTCATGACTCCAGACAAGGATACTTACTCAACTCTGGGGGGCAGCCGAAACGATGCGATTGCAGCTTGACTTGCTCAGCCACTGGCAAAAGCGATGGAACATTGCCGTCAATAATGAGAAGTCCACATTTTCTCTCTGCAAAGGCAACTGCCCTCCAGTTAACCTTAACGGCTCTCCAATCCCACAGGTAGACAATCCCAGGTACCTGGGATTCACCCTAGACAGGAGGCTCACCTGGAAGCCCCATCTGATTAAGAAGAGGAAACAGGCTAATCAAAGACTTCGATCCTTCTACTGGCTTATGGGTAGGAGATCGAAGCTGAGAACTTCCACTAAACTCCTCATTTACAAGGCCATAATACGCCCAATCTGGACGTACGGCATACAGCTCTGGGGCACTGCGAGCAAGACGAATGTCCGAACTATGCAAGCTTTCGAAAATAGAGCCCTTCGAATCACCACTGGGGCCCACGTCTATCATGACAATCGCACCATCCACGAGGTTCTCAATTTCCCTTGGGTCAAGGACGAGATACAAAGAAGCAGCCCACGTTACATGCAGAGGCTTCATAATAACCCGAACCGGTTGGCCAGCTCCCTGCTGGACAACAGCGAGCAGCCCAGAAGACTAAAAAGGACACACCCGCTGGACCTCCCCTTACTACTCTAATTTATTTCTACCATATTAATATTTAAAATTATCTATAAGTGAAGTTTACGTGATAAAATTTAATGGTTGTCCCTAATGGACAGTTTTAAATAAACATTACCCTGCTATTACAAAAAAAAAAAAAAAAAAGTCCCTGCCCGAATTTACGGGAGCACAGGACGCATACGTCTCCTGGAGACAAGCGGCAGTAGCCGCATATTATATTTTCAGGAATTACGCAAATAATTCGCGCCATTATTAGGCAGTTATTATTATTAGGAATAAAATAAGGGGCCCTACCGATGCCGTACTGTCTTCGTTTGGCACTGTACTAAATTTCGACGGGATTATAAATCGACTCGATTTTACGTACAATGATAAGGCAGGGAAATATGACCCTTTTACAGTACTATGACGAGGTCGAGAAAAAACTCACCTTGCTTAGCAACAACGAAGCCTTGCTATGTCGTACGAAGCCTCGGCGGCAAAGGTCTTATGTGACAAATTCCGGGATGACGCACTCCGAGTATTTATCTCGGGGTTTAAGCGCAGCCTCATGGATGTCCTGTTTTCGGCAAAGCCGAAAGCTATGCCTTCAGCTCTCGCTTTGGCACAAGAAGTGGAATCTAACCACGAAAGATACTCCTTCGCGTCTTCATTTGCCAAAAGCCAAGAGGACAAAGACAAACAGCACTCAAAAGCGCAAGAATACCGACAGGCTTCTGCGCAGGCAAATGCACAAACAAACGTTGGAAAAATACCAAAACATAACCCGGCATACCAAAACAGGAAGCCGGCTGAATCCGATCGATCTGCCCCACACAAAAGGCAGAGGGTTAATCACGCCGCGCAAGGTGCGAGCGAAATCGGGAGCAAATATACCGCCGCAGCTTCAAGCGCGGCTCAGGAAATTGACGACGACGCTTTTAAAGATTACTGTTTAACGAGATTGATTTATCTCACACTTGCAAAATAATAAAAAAAAGGGTGACTGCTAAATATTTAAAAATGTGCGAAAAACGAAAACGAAAGAAATGGTCGTGCCTCATCAACGTTATATATTCGAATGTATTTTCTCTAATCTCAAGACTAACTTATCTATTGCGGCGAAGCGGGGCGAATTCGCACAAGAGAGAATATGAGCTTTCGCTCCCGCTCCGCCCTACGCTATCTTAGAGTAAATTTAGAGACTAACAACTACAATATACAATTCAGCTATAAACTATAATTCACATTTTTTGACAACTTCAATCAAATAACAAATCAATTAACAATTACGATTCGGACGTCATCAATTTTTTAGGGGAAAATCCCTGCTACCCGTCATCAGACAAAGAGTAGCAGGTGTAGAAATGAAGCTTTTAATAGATACGGGCGCGTCAAAAAATTTCATCCGTCCATACGAAGGGTTGAAAGGCGTCCATCCAGTAGATTCGCCATTCTCGGTACATTCCATCCATGGCGTTACAACGATAACAAAAAAATGATTCGTATCCCTGTTCAACTTGAAGGCTACGTTTTTCATCCTACCAGATTTGTCCTCCTTTGATGCCATCA